GTGTGGCCGTGAGGCCTACACCACATTTCCCTTATCCCTGTGTCATATTTTCCCTCTACATTCTTGAACTCTCTCGAAAACTCTCAACTCTCTTTCTTTCTCTTTGCACTCTCTCCTCCACCGAGACAACCCCACACATAAACCTTCGATCTCAGACCATCTCACCTCAGCTCTCTCTCTCTGCACTCTCTCTTCCTCCTACTCAAAATCAACCGCCTGAGCTTGAGCTGAGTGAATGTATCAGTGAAATGAAGAAATGGGTTTTGGGAAATTAAGGTTCTTGATGGGTTTAGAGCTGCCATAGCTCGGTAAATGAAACGATGTCAGAGGCTGGGTCAGCTCCCACTCGATCCGGTTCCAGTAAACAGCATCATCAAGGACCTGGTCAGCGAGCTTCGCCCAGTCTTCGAAGTCGCGAGCGTGGAGATTTTTGGAGACCCACTTGAGGTAAGCTGAAGGGAAGGTGCCCAACATTTTGCCCTTGTATTTTTCGAAGTCGATGACTCTGTCTCTAGCAGGCAGCGGTGTTGAGGTCGATAGAGAATGTGGTTTGGGGGGTTTTGTGGGTTTGAAGGAGCAGGAGAGGCGGATGGGATGCAGAGAGGTGTAGGAGAATGGTGGGTTTGACGGAGGAGTGTGGAGGCGGAAAAGAGAGCTCAGGGTAGGATTTCCAGAAACTTTCATTAAAGGGTCACTGTTCACTCGTGTTTTAAAGGTTTGCGCAGAAGTTGAAAAGCCAGCTTTTCAAAGCTGCATTTTTCTACTTCTGTTTTTTGACTTTTTTTCACCCAAAACTGTGAAAAAAATCTGAAGCTGGAAGTTTACCAAACACAAAAATGACCCCCAGCTTTTTTTTTATACCAGTTTTTTTTTAAATCACCTCAACCCCAAACCATACCGAAGCATGCCGGGCTTCCGAGAATTGTGAGATTTTGGTCCATTACACAGTATTGGATGAGGTTTGGAATCGGAATGAGATGAATGTCGATGATGCATTCACGTATACTGTTGCTTCCAACATCATGCTTAGCAATGACATTGAACCACGCTCTGTTGATAAATATCGATGTAGAACGGATTGGTCAAACTAGAAACAAGCAATCTAGGTCGAACTCGATTCGCTCACAAAACGAAAGGTGTTTGGGCTTGTAACTCCTACTCCACCACATATGAAGCTTGTGGGCTACAAGTGGGTTTTTGTGAGGAAGCGTAATGAGAATAATGAAATAGTGAGATACAAAGCACGCCTCGTAGTGCAAGGTTTCTCCCAACACCTTGGGATTGATTACAAGAAGATGTATTCTCCCGTAATGGATGTCGTAACATTCCACTACCTTATCAATTTGGTAGTTTCTGAAAAAACTGAATATGCAGCTTATGGACGTGGTACGCGTATCTTTATTGGGATCTAGATACGAAAATTTACATGAAAGTTCCAGAAAGACTTCCATTGACTAGTTCAAATAGTTCTAGACCACGGAACACTTTCTCGATTAGATTGAGGAGGCACTCTATTGAATAAAACAATCGGGGCAGATGTGGTATAACTGTCTGAGTGAATATTTGAAAAGTCAAGGTTATAAGAACAACAAACTTTACCCATGCGTGTTCATTAAGAAGTCACATTCCAAATTTGTGATCGTTGCAGCTTATGTCGACGACATGAACCTCATTGGAACTCCCACAAAGCTTAAGGAAATTGCCACACACCTGAAATCGGAATTTGAGATGAAAGATCTTGGGAAAACTAGATATTATCTTGGCCTGGAGATCGAGCATTGTTCAGATGGAATCCTAGTACATCAATCGAACTACACCCAGAAGGTGTTGCGACGCTTTAATGAGGATAAAACGAAGCCTTCGAGTACTCCTATGGTCGTTCGGACTCTAAATGCTAAACAAGATCCCTTCCGTCCAAAGGAGGATGAGGAAGAAATTTTGGAGCCGAAAGTTCCATACCTAAGTGCAATTGGTGCTTTATTGCACTTGGCTCAATGCACCAGACCCGACATCTCCTTCACTGTTAATCTTTTGGGTAGATATAACAATGCTCCTACACGCAGACACTAGAATGGTGTTAAAGGCATTTTCCGTTACCTCAAGGGTACAACAAATATGGGCTTGCTCTACACCCATGAATCCTCGAGAGGAGTCGCCGCCCCCCTCGGTCCTCGGGTTAATTCACGCCTCGTTGGTTACACAGATGCTGGTTATCTGTTTGACCTACATAGGGCACGTTCTCAAACGGGTTATGTTTTTACCATTGGAGACACCACTATATCTTAGAAGTCTACCAAGCAAACGCTAGTTGCAACTTCTTCGAACCATACTGAGATTCTAGCCCTGCATAAAGCCTCACAAGAATGCTTTTCACTGAGAACAGTTATGGAACATATTTGAAGAACTAGTGGTCTTTCTTGCATTGTTGACCTTCCTATGATGATCTTTAAAGACAATGCAACATGTATCGAGCAATTAAAGAAGGGATACATCAAGGGAGACAACACCAAGCACATAGCACTGAAGTTCTTTTTTTCTCACCAACAACAACAGCATCAGAACATTGAAGTCAAGCAAATCTGTTCCCAGGACAACCTGGCCGACCTCTTCACGAAGTCACTGCCCAAGTCTACTTTTTAGAAGCTTGTCCAAGGAATCGGTATGCGTAAATTATCTGAGTTAAATCGCTTGTAACTCTCTTATTCGTAAGTTATGTCTAACTCAAGGGATGTATCCTAAAGCATATGTATTCTTTTTCCTACAATTAGGAGCAATTTTCCCACTGGGTTTTTGCTAACTAATAAGGTTTTAACGAGGCACCCATCCTGGAATGATCATACTCCGTTGAGTTCACTAATTTCATCATGTTTGATGTTTGTTTTAGACAGTATGCATACTTTTCACTTTTCTCCTTAGTCTATGAGTTTTCCCCATGCCTTGGGTTTTACCATAGCGAGGTTTTGTGAGTTTTACTACCAATGCATACTTACTTGTATTTGAGACTCGCGTTCACTCGTTATGTCGTTGACTTCATCAACAGTTCTACCTCATCTGCTAAAGATCTAATACGATGTTTTGTTTGAGTATTTATACACTCAAGGGGGAGTGTTACGGTCCTATCTGATTAGGATTGTGATTGTGTAAATTCTAGTATATCTAGGAGTATCTAGTTTATTCCTATTAGGAGTTGATTACCTATTAAGAGATGTAATCCTAAAAGGGTAAGGATTCTACCTATCCTACTACTATAAATAAAGATATAAAAGGGTGATACAACACACACCTCATAATTAAATCTCTCTCTTTCTCTTTTGTTGCCGCCAGCCCCTCTCCCTTTCTATCATTTATATAGTTTAGTCAAATAGACCTACAACAGAAAAGTGCTTATTCATAACTAAAAATAGATTAAAACCCTAGACGATAGTGTTGAGGTTTTTGAGCCACAAAGCTCTCTACCACCCATCATTCTCAGATCTTGTCTCCCTCACCTCTCTACCACCCATAATAAAAATGATAGTGTTGAGGTTTTGCAACCGCGGTGCTACTGTTACCGTTGCTGCTCTAGGTGTCAGTGGGCTGCCGCTGCTCCTGCACAAAGTAGAAGAATAAAGAACCTAAGGAAGAGAGTGATGACGATATAGGATTCCGCTTGTTTGATTAAGAGCTCCTCCTAGCAAGATGTAATCTAATCTTCCGTTGATGGTTTTTAGTACTTTGAGTTTTCTTTTTGGCTAATATGTAGTGGTAGTGGGCGAAATTGTCAAGACTCCTGGCTTTCTGAGGAACAAATCATGATTTTAAATAAAAAACAATAATTACAAATAGAGCTACTGTCAAATTTGACATCAACTCTTCTTGCTGCCATTTCAGGTCATGCCATATAAGAATTGGCATTTCGGTTGGAAAACAATTGCGTTGTTTTTTATTATTGTTATTGCTGATGTGGTCATTTTGACATAAAGAATCTGATATCTAGCCAAAAATGACAAAAAGGCTTCGCCTGAAAGCCAAGAGGTAAAAGCAGATAAAACAATTTAGGCAACACTTTTGTGCGTCCGACGACCATTTGCCAAAAGAAGACAAATTCAATCTTCATAGGTTATTTCAACAAATTACATATTTAGGGATGGGGATTCTCTTTGATCTTCTTCGTGATGATTTTAAATTACATATTTAAGGATGAGGATTCTCTTCACCCTCTTTGTGAGGATTTTAAGAAATAATTTATCTTAGCTATTCATTCACATTGTGTTGCCAATTTTTATTAATCATTATGCAATTAGAAATTATTTTAAATTTTTTATTTAAAAATGATCTCAAATGATATTTAACAAAAACTAATTACACAGTATAAATAAAAGTACCGATGAACTGATTCATAAGATTCTTACACAGAGAATACGAATAGAATCCTGCTGAATACCATCAACGTCAGCAGAACTTCACGGATTCCCATACGCCATTAGGACCAAAAAGTAATCCCATGATAAAATCATAAGCACTTAGATTAGGCTACAATATTTATTTATTTAATTTAATTTATTTTTTTTTTTGTGAAGAGATTAGGCTACAATATTATTTATTTATTTATTAATTATTTGGTAAAAATATTAACAGAATGACTTGGGCTTTGTGATTAATTATTACTAACCGAAAATTAAGCTAAAGCTCATAAAATTAGCAAAACACCAAATTACTAGTTTGTACAAACATTTCCTCCCACTTCTCAATTTTTCTGGCTTTTTCTAAAAGCAATTTGCAATAATTTACAAGAAAAACTTATCCACATAAAATTACTTTTTTTTTCCGGTTCCCCTTTTGGCCTCTTCGATTTGAGTATGATTAACCCAACAGTAATATTCACTTGGGATGTACTATCCACACATCCTATATTACTTTTCACACATCTTTATTAATTTCTGTTCGTTGATCTTCTTCAATTCAGTTGATCCAACAACCAAAAATTAAAAGGATGTATGAGAAGTAAAATAAGATATATGAATATGACATTCCTATTCACTTGACCCCTGCTCCAATTTTCCCGCCAAAAAAGCATGCGGGAAAAGATCCGGGCCGTTAAAGCCCACCTCCTTTGCCTTGATCCGACGACTTGCGTGACATCTCAACTTCCATTTTCTTCGTTCGAGGAATCGCTCACCGACCGAGATATCCGGTTAGTGTCCGAATCTAAACCAAAATAAATAAAGATGAAAATTTATAATTAAATTAAAATTGGAGAAAATTATTATAAATAATAGGAAATAAATGATAAATAAAAGAATGGAAATTAAAAGTAAAATTACCTCGGGAGGCATTGAAGGAACGCTTGCAATGCAGGATGGCGCTTTGGATTCCATCCTGCTGCTGAAGCAGCGAATCATCACTCCTCTGCGCGATTACGGCGGCCGATGGAGCCGCGGCTACGGCGGAGGAAGCGGACCGGCTCTTCCCCAAGTGCTTGCAGACCACTCTCAACCCTGCCGGAAAATTCCCATGCGTCTGACCACTCTTCGCATTGCTCGCCGTCACCGGCGGCGGCTCTGAAACTTCACTCTCCGACTGGGACTTCTCGGCCGGATTCGAAGCCAGCGCCGTCGAGCCGTTCAAGTTGAGCTGCCCGGACATTCTCAGCTTCTCACCGTACCTCTTTGAAACGCGAACGTAGAGAGGCTTCACCATTTTCAAGTACTTTTGCATTACCTCTTTGGGAAAGCGCTTTTCCTCAGAAGCCGATTCTTCAGAAGCGCTTATCGGCGGCGGCTTCCGCTGGGTCGTATGCGACTTATTAGTTGCAGAGATTCTGGAGCTGTTGTGTCTGGCAAACAAAGACACAATGGGAACCTCCTCAACCTTGAATTTCACCGTGAAAAGCTTCTCCTGCTGCTTGTGCTTTTGCGACGGTTCCTCTTGCGGTGGTTTTTCCTGGGGTTTTTGCGGCGGTTCTTTCGCCACCGCCGCAACAGATCCAGCCGCCGGCAGGTCCGTTTTCCCTGGTTTTTCCGACCCGTTTGAATTCGACTTCAATTTCTTCAATCCCAGCATGAAAACACGAAATTTGGTGGCCGATTTCAATAATGAGACGGCGAATTGGGGCTTGGAGTTAGATTCTTCAGATGGGTTGAACTCAATCGACAAGGGCTCGATGGGCACAAGCTTCCCTTTGAAGAACAAGTCGTCGGAGGGAGAGAGAGTCAGATTCGGCTCGACCGTTCTGTCCTGGGTCGACCCGGAAGGGACGGTGAAGTTAAACTCCTCGTCGTCGCCGCCGCCGCTGTCGTCTTCTTGCCGGACATCCTCGTTGCAGCCATCTTCTTGCCGAGCTTCCTCGTCGTGGTTTCGAGCAAACGCTTCGTCTTCGTCGGGGACGGCGAACTCTAAGTCGAAGAAAGGCCCGTCGTCGTTGTCGCTGTCACTGTCTTCGTCGTCGTTTTGGGCGACGGCGGTGAGGATTGTGGTCGTGGGTGAAGTGGTGGTGGTGGTGGTGCCCATGTTAGCAGAACCAACCGTGACACCGCCGCGCCAGTGCTTGAGGAAGCTGAAAGTTTCCATGGTTGGGAGAGCCAGTATACAAGGCAGAAGAAGTGGGTATACTGAGTAAAAAGGAGAGGAAAGAGGCAGGGTTTGCTTAGATGAATGGTTTTGCGGAGGGAGAAGAACCAGTACCGCTACTGAAAATGCAAATGACTGGGGTAGAGAAAGAGAGAGAGAGAGAGAGAGAGAAAGGAGGGGGGGAGGGGTAAAAAAAGCGGAGAGAGAGTGACTGGGGTAGATTTTTCATATAAAAATTTAATCGATATTTCACCATTAGACCTTGCATAATATTCACACTACTGAGTAGTATGTACCTAAACATGTTATTAACGCCTCTGATTAATCATAAAATCAACAAATTAAGTGAGTTATTGCAGCGATAAGCACCCACGTGCACTGTGGGTACGTAGCCTATATGTGTAAGCAGTGAATGCACTTAACATTTCATCTCTCACTCCTTACATTGCAACCTGTGAAGACAGTATGCTCGTGACTATATAACTACAACTAATTAGTGCTCATTTCAACTGTGATAGAACCCATATTGCGCATGATTAATTACCGATTTCTGAATTTTGGGTCAGATATAGCCGTGGCAAAAAGTGAAGTCACACTAAAAGAAAATGAATTGTTAGGAGCAGTCAATTAGGGACAGATTTAAAGAATCGCATCTATTAATGAGTTTTTAAAAAATCGCATCTATTGATATGGCCAAGCAAAAGGCAATGCTGTTTCCAATTTCAAGTTCATTTAAATTTCTGTGTTTCATTGGTCGTTTCGTGTCAATAATCTACAAGCATGTGTAAAATGCAAGATTCTAAAAGACCCTAAATGCTAGTCGGGTGCCAGGTTAGGGTCTAGCGCCTAGACGGTTAGGCGGGGCCTAGCGCTTGGACAGGACGGCCGCCTATGCAGACTAAACGAATTTAAGTAAATCTATTATATTTTGTGTAAATAAATATCTGTTTATACTTAAAATATATACAATTTCATCATAAACTACAAAATATAATGACATATATAGTATTGGAACATAATGAAAATATGGGGAACAAGCATAAAATGTATGTTCATTCAACTATTCAGCAAGTCTCTCGCAATTTATTGAAAAAATAAATAAAATACAAAATGAAAGTTATCTATTTCTATCTAAGTGATTCGCAACCTAAGCGGGTGCCTAGGCGGGTCTTGGCGAGCTATGCAGGTGCCTCAGCAGGTCTAGGCATTAATCGGAACGGTGATCAGCAGCCTAGTGCCTAGGCGGGGGCCTAAGCAGCATTAGGCCGAGATTTTTAGAACAATGGTAGAATGTAAGAGCATGTCATCGTATACAGCACAAAACATCACGATAAAGACAGTTTACTGTGCAGTTACTCTACAAACCCCATCACACTCTCCAAAACCCATCATTCTATACGTTGATATTACTTGACACCGATATCGTGCCCCTTTTTTCAGAATACAAAAGCACAGTGGCATGGTGAAGTTTCCATGAAGAGAGGAGTAAAAACACAAAGAATGCGAGAAAACAAACAGAGCAGGCTTCAATCCCTTTATTTACGCCTTTACCTTTGAACTTTGAGACTACACAAAGCTCTCTGGTCGAAAGCCTGCATGGGTCTTGAAAGTGAGTCCTTTATTACCCAAAAAAAAAAAAAAAAAAAAAAAAAAAAGCAAGTAGCAAAGTTAGACCTTTGACATTACTTCGACAAACTAGGGTATGAATACACTTCCACACAATTAAGAGCGTTTTAACTACATTTGGTAAAATAAACTTAAATATGGTCTGTGTTTGTAAAATACTTCTAAAAAATGAAACACTTTCAAATATTTTTTTCAAACAGTACTGAAGCATTGGAAATTAAACTTTGACATTGTTAATTAAATAATTTAAAGTTGGTTTGGGGTAGCTTAAATTTTTTTTAAAAATAGCTTCTAAAAAAAGTTTTGCCTTTAATGTGTTTGGTAAATGAAAAAAAATGTTTTTTTTTTTAAAAAAACTTATGGGTTCAAAACTGTGATAGCCCATCCCTAAAAAGTATGATTTTTTTTATAATTTTATTACATGAAATTACGGGAATACCCTAGGGGCAAAGTATGGTTTTTTCGAGGACGCATGTGATTCTCGTATATTTTGTTCTGTTTCTCGACAAATTTGGATAGAGCTCGATCTTACAGACGCGTAGGCACAAGTAGAAGTGAAATTGGGGTTACGGTTAAAGTTTTGTTGAGTTGCGAACCCGAAAGTATTTGGAATGAATCACTATTTTAATTATCTTACACTATATTTTTATTATTATTATTAAATGATTTTTTGTGATATATATGTGTGTGTGACTGGTGGAAAAAGGGAAGGGAGGAGATTGGGCAGAGCTGCCCAATCGGAGGAGAGAAGTGGAGGGGGCTGCTACCCTATCAGGAAGAAGGAGATGAGGATTGGATGAATGGGAGAGAAAAGAAAGGAGAGAAAAGGAGAGAAGGGAGTGCGGGGGATCCTTGACCCGCAAGTGGGCGACCCGACCCAGTCGGGTTTTCTTGCCATTTCCGAAGAGTTTTAGCCTTTCCTTCGGCAAATCACTTCAAACTACCACTTGGAAAACCATCCATGACTTTCCATCTCCCTATTACACCCCAAAAATCATGAAATTTGGCCTTGATTTTGGGAAAAACCGCACCGGTGGGTGCAATGAACCCGTGCCTTCGATTCCCCCAATTCTAAAACAATTCCATCCAATTAATACCACCATTAGACTCCCCTTGAGGTCTGGAACAAAGCCCATTCATTGGTTGGGGCGTCAAAGTTGTTTTGGAGATGAATCAAGAACACCAAAAAATAAGGGTTTCCGGCGGTTCGTGGCCAGTTTGAGGTGTTTTTCGGCCAAATTGGCCTTGGCTACAGGTATAAAGTTTGCTTTAATCTTTGAGATCTTCATTTCTGTAAATTTTGAGAATTTTTAGAAATAGTGGAGTTTTCCAGCTGGTACGACGTACAGACCACTATAATTGGGTCCGACTTGTAGGTGAACCGTGATCATTCGCACAGTTTTCACGTGATCGTAGCACTTGAGCGCATTTATTTACACCTAGTCCTGTTATATAGACCACTTTATAGGTCATGTTATTGATTTAGCTGTACAGGTCATGTTAGGTGACTCCTGCTGACATATCATTTGCATTGATTATAACACCTAGCTTACATATTTTATGTTGAGATATTTGACATGGCATACATGTGGATTATTCTATTTTGAGCATGGTTTTGATATACGTATGTATTCTATATTCTGGGAAATTATACAAGTGTTACGGCGAGGGGTTAGTACCTTGAGAAGAGAAATAGTTTTGAAAAGCTTTGTTTTCGCCCACTCACATTTTCTATTTTTGCACCCCTCTAGATTCTAGTATCAAAGTTTCCGTATCGACGATAAATCGTGGCACTTCCAGTGCACATGGCTTTTTTTTACGGTATAATCATTATCTTACCTTATTGTACTTTACTTATACTCTGTATCACATGTGAATGAGCCCATACCCGCTCACCGGGCACTCGTGTATTTAGACACTTTTAGGTTTAAATTTATTCATAATTTGCCCATTATCACAGTTTATGGCTTCGTCACCTTACTGGTGTCGGCCATCACAGCTCCATTCGGAGTCCTTGTAGATATTCCAGGTCGGGGTGTGTCAAAAACAGCAGAAAGCAGAAAATACAAGCAGTTTTACACATGCTTCTCAAAAAACCTTTTTTTTTTTTTTTTTTTTTTTTTTTTGTTTTGTTAAGCAGGTGAATAATACCAATTAACGAAACTTTCATATTGACAATTCTACCCCGTTCTTTTTTTCTTTGCTAAAAACACTTTTAGTACTATAGTTTACAAAATACTTATATGTTTTTTTATTCACTTTTGTTATTCTCACATCACAACAGAAGCAATTTAAAGAAAAAACACAACAACCTCAAACTAGCTTTTGTACGCTTATGGCAAAAATACTTGACACTCTTGAGACGAGGAACTGAAGTTATTTCACATACAAAAATATAATTAAATACTAATGATAACAAGGACGTTGTTATTCACACACTCTTGTTAATTTTTAGTCATTAATCTTCTTCAATTCATTCAAACTGCCGATCGAAAATTAAGAAAAACATGTGAGAAATAAAAATGAGTGTATAAATTGCACTACACTTATAACAAACATGTTTATGAGCAAAGTTGAAGTTTGTTAGTATGACTTTTATCAGCTGTTTAATATTCTAGAATTCTTTTTTTTTTTTTTATTTGGGTTAGAACAATTTTCTAGATTAATAATAGGAAGCGTTATTGGCACTTCAAAAATCTCATTCTACACTCCTCACAAGTGTATTTTTCTTTCTAAATATAGAAAGTTTGGAGTGTAGAATGATGAATTTGGAGTGCCAATAACAATTCCCTTAATAATTATTTATTATTCAAACTACTCAGTAGTTCTGAAATATTAGGCAGAAATGCTCTATGTGGACAGAAAACCGCACGAAGATATAATAAAGAAAGAGGCAAGATCTTGTTACCATTACACTAAGGGCTGGTTTGGTATTGATGTGCCTTGAAAAAAAAAACTGTTTCCACTGTACTGTGAGAATAAGCAACTGTGAAATAAAGCAGTAAAGTATTTGGTAAATTTTTTTGTAAAAGTGCTTTTGGAAAAAAAAAATAAAAATAAAAAGCAATATGATAGTGTTTGGTAAATTTTTATGTAAAACAGCTGTGATTGTGTGAAATGACCAAAAAAAATATAACACTAGATATGTCATTAATTTAATTTTTTTAACAAATAAAGGTGAATTATTAAATATACTTTGTTTTTAAAATAAAAATATTTATAAGCTTTATCTTAAATATTTATAATTAAGATATTTAAAAAAAATAATTTTTAATGCCTAAAAATTAATAAATCTCTTCTCTCTCTCTCTCTCTCTCTCTCTCTCTCTCATCTTCTTCATTCTTATGTTTTCCCTCCTTTATCCCCTTCACGCTGCAACAGCAGCCAAGGCGCAGCCTTCGTGAACAACCCTCCATTTTCAAGGCACTGCTCCATTTGCTTGTCCGTCATCACCTTCACGAACAACCCTCCATTTCCATTTCCAATCCCATCATCTTATTCTAAGTTCTGCAAATTCTAGTGGATTATTTGTTG